TATCTGATTTCAATATATACAACTAAGTTTAGTTGCCCAGATGAACATCTGTCATTTGCGTTGAACTTACAAAAATCGCAGTTCGTGGGCATAGCTGAAGGTCGTGCTGCTAACGTTTTGTATCTTATTGCCGAAGATATTGCTGAAACGAAGAACGCAACCGTTTGAAATTAGCTCCTAAACGAGGGCTTGCAGTTGTCATATGACTCATCCTAATAAATTTACATAGAGTTTCATTACAACTACATAGATCTCCATGATGTTTGTTTCCGTTTCAATGATATCCACCTTGGCTCACTAAAAGTATGCTAAATAAAAAGGCACATTTTTAGTGCAACATGAATTCAAACAAAATTGCTTCGTTGAGCAAGGTAATTTGCACCAGGTCTGTTCTACATCATCTTAAATTTGTAAACTAAAATCTCAGAATTTGAACGCTTATTATATTTATTCCATGACTTAAAATATTCTAGAACGTGTTTGTATGAGTTGAACTGTACTCACAGAGCTTTAAGGCTTTTGACACCCTTGAAAATTTTGTCAGGCAGAGCGTCTATTTTGTTCTCCGAGAGATATCTTAAAAATGCGAAATGGATAATAAAATAAATATTAACATACAGTAAGATAACATGATTGGGTAGGACAACTTTAATTTAGGCGATAACGGAGTTAACATTAAAAAAAAAAACATTACTATATACCTTTTACGATCCAGATCATCATGGAAAAAGGTTTAAACTCAAAATGTACTTACAAATCGAATAGCTCTACCAAGCCCTGGAACTGGTCTTCGTGAAGCTTCTCAATTTTGTTGTAATCCAATTTCCTGCAGAAAACATCATGGGCAGTTTTATCTTTAACTCTGCTGTTTTTTAGGTAACTTCTGCAGTTAAGGCAGGGAATGGCAATGTTTTCCAGTAAAACAGCTTCCAATTTTTATATGTAATCTTCAAAGAACACATCAGATATATCTATAATGCACGTAAGATTAAGCACGAAAACTCTCAGTTTATCCCCATGGGCTTCGAGCGAGGTCTATTGTTTAAAGCTGGATTTGAAAAATCGTTTGTGGCTCACTTCTTGTTACAAATTACAAAATTAGTGACAGGGTAGTTTAATCTTGCAATACAATAAATTCTTAGATATTGGCAACTCGGATAACAAAGAAACCTTTGCCTTCCAGAAGTAAATTATAATGTAAGTTGTCATTAATTAGGAAGTTTTTATAGTCACCAAGTGTTGTTATTTTCAAGAAAATCCTCTAAGAATAATTCTTAATCTTTTGTGCCGATATAAATCTTACTTACAGAAATTCTACTGCTGTAATGTTCCTGAAAATGTACGGCGGCAGAGTTCCAAGTTCATTGTCGGACAAATCACTGAAAACAATTATTACCACAGTTACAAAGATTTCGCCTGTGACAGAATTACCAACTGAACTCATAAAAAAATTATAATCGGAGGTTTTTGGCGAAAAACGTTCAGAAAATATCGTTTGCTTGCGCAGTTGCTTCCACTTATTAGTTTATTTCCCATAAATCCCTGATAAATTTTCCCAAGAAAAAGGTTAATGTTTTAAAATCCAACTCAAGAAGATCCTAGCATATTATGTTGGCTAAGAACGCTGTGATAAAAAAATCTGTTTACATTCTCTGGGGAAAACACAAAATAAAATATGTTTCATTAATAAAAAATCGAAAAACAGGCTAATCAAGGAAATATCCATCCCCAACATTTTTGGGACGGAAACCTCTCACCGCAATAAGAAAGCAAACAAGTCAAAAAAAGAAAAAAAGTGGTCCAAAAAAAAAAGTCTTGGAAATATATTCATAACCGACTTTCTTGAGGGAGAAACCTCTCACCGCGATTAAAAAAAACAAACAAGCAAAAAAAAGAAAAAGAAAAAGAAAAAACCGGTACAATAAAAAAACGAAATCTGGGAATTGTTATGGTTGCTATTTTAACAGAAGCTTTTAAACTTTTACACCTCACCAAGTACCTTAAAATTGCTAACATAAAATAGCATCCTCAGTTTCAACTGATCAGAGTTACAAATGCAAGCTGGAAAACTTCATGATTTTTCAGCTATGACGGCTGTGCCTTTGTTGACAATATTTTAAAAATGATCATTTAGTTCTACCCAATAATTCTCTTGCTTAAAATTAACAACTTTCTCACTTACAGATGTGTCAGCTTGGAAAGGCTGTTAAAAAGTCCTTCTGGAAGACTCTTCAACTTGTTGTTTGACAGATAGCTGAAAAGAATGACAGGAAAAGAAAATTAATTGTTATTAAGTATGCAATCTGAAATTTGTTAGTAAAAATACGTAAAAATGCTAGTCATCAAAAACAACCAAAGAGCATTATATAATCACAGACATAGATTATGTGTCTTATGGTACGGAGAATATTCAAGAGCTACTTCAGTCATTTAGTTTTGTCAATATCTATAACAAAAAGAAATTACAGGTCGCCGACAGCTTGAAGTTTGCGTGCACACTGAACTCTTTTCCCAAAACATAGCCCATGGCTGACTCCCGTGGATTAAGAAAAGAAATCATTAAGCTTGCTATCTAAGGAAATGCCCACATGGTTCAAAACAAAGAAAGATATCCCATGAAAACAACTGCAACATTCATTCATCAACATTTCGTCATTGTATGTATGATCGTTGTCAATGAAAATTTCAATACAGTAACAAAACATAATAAAGAATGTCTCAATTTTAAAATATGTTATCGGTGCGGATGGGAAGATCATAAAATCTTCAATTGGAAAAAATATTTTCTTTTTAATCGCTTTAATTAGTGAAAGAAAAGAAGAGTATAATACTGGCAGAATCTTTGTAAAAATACACTAACAATCACGAGCTGTGATTTTACAAAAGAGGGGGAAATTCTAATTAATGCTGCAACAATTTATGCAGTTAAAGGGGAAAGCTTGGTATGAATTAACTTACAGCTCTGTCAGGTTTTCTAGGTCTTGGAATAGATCAGGAGGCAATTCAGTGAAGTTGTTGTCTTGCAACCATCTGTGTTGAAATTTGAAAAAAACATGATCTGTACGTAAAATCTATTTAGTTTTATTAATACAGTTATTTACCGCTTTGTTTTATGATCACTGACGGGAAAGGAAGAAAAGAGAAAAGAAAAAAAGTAAATGCAAAAACAAGTATAGACGGGGTGGTAGGAAAGAGGAATGCTGCTGCGTTATGAGAACAGCTTTTTTTGGTGGCTGCATGATTTGATGCACAACAACCACATATTATCTCTGACTATACAATACAACTCAATGGGTGCAATGCAATAGGCAAAAATTCGATCCAGCATACTACCATATCAAACACAATAAAAACTTAGTCAAACGACTACTATTCCAAAACTCGATGCAGTGCTATAAATCAAAAGGGGCTTTTCTCAGTTCTGA